TATCCTATTTTGAATTCCATGAGCTTTACTTTATCTAATCATTGCTGTATCAATGGTTTAACAGAGTACCATGAAACTACTGTTATCCTAGACCATATTAGCCATACTAAACATGATCTGCACACCTTTTTATTTCATGTATGTGTGTTAAATTCTCCCTATTATCCAAGCCTTCACATGGATAAGAAGTCACCTGGCAGTATCGGCAAAGCCATCCTTTTATCCGTGATTATCTTTAACTGGGGACTATGCACACAAAGGCTAGTGAATACACATATTCCATCAACAACACCATGTGAGTACTGTGCATCTGCTTTAATGCCGTGGTAAGGCTTTCTAATGGTTGGTGTTCCAACGTTTTTGCTCGGAGCTTTCGAAACCAAATCCAAGAACAATCTCCCAGCACATCGAGCAAAGCATCGGATATGGTGCCGAAAAACACGCAGCACAACCAGACATCAGAGAGCTAACCAAATAAATGTGTATTTAATTAAACGCGTGTATTATTGAACCTGCTTTTAAGTTTTTGTTTCATTTCAGTAATGTGTTTCTCCATTAGAGGGCAATGTATTATTGAATTTTAGTTAATTATACCTCTTACATTCACTTACAATATTTCTTATGCACCTCCGATTAGCATGGCTGGCTACATATGGTGCGAAATAAGTTCAACATACATACGCAGATTTCATATCTCCGAAGACTGAAATGCTGAGGTTTTGTTGAACATGCTATTCCCCATTATTGACCATTTTTTTCCAAACGACAATAGTGTTCTTGTTTACTGTGCTCAGTGTACAAAAAAAAGTTGACCCAAAGTGAAAAGGCATGAGAGATTTTAGGCGGTGTGTCGTGTGAGCTTTACTTGACCTTTGTCTCGGTGTTATCAGTGATCTGATATGTAGGTGAGTGTTAAAAGAACCATGAGTTTCCTGCAGACACACACATGAGTCCTTGGTATGTTCCTCCCTTTGAGACACTCGTTTATCTGCCCAGTATTTACAGAATGGGTGAGTGGTCTTGCAGTACAAATGGTACAAAACGAAGCGGATCCCATTGTTATATGCTGCCTCTGTGCTGGAAATATTAGGTGCTTCACAAAAAATAGGCATTTCTTTTAAATAATAATCAATGGCTTGTGCATGCGAGGGTGTATTAACGGTATCTTTATTTATATATTGACACAACCGCACAAATGTGCAATCGTTTAGCTTTGCCACAATTGATTATTTCTTGGTTAATTATATCATTCTTGACGGACACTACTGTTCTGCAATCAGCAAGTAAACAGATTAGTTATTGATGTTTGTAAAACTTGCATTTATATTATGCTCATAAGTTAACGGTATGTCTTGGTTCAGTTTTTTTTATCCTATGCGAGAGCCTCATAGGTAGTTTGTCCCTATGCCAGACAGGGGACAATTGCTGTGAACTTTGACTAGCTGTGATATGTTCTAGCAATAGCAATCATGTTAATACTTTTATAGGAACTGGAAGCAGGTGTTTTTGGGCTTAAATTATCTGTAAATCTTGAAACAGTGTTTTCCTTAATATAACCTTATCAGCAATATAAAGTTTCCTAATAGCAGTCCATTGTAAATTTGTGTATATGGGTTGGATTGTGGGATGCTTGGGTCTAATGCTGCTGCATGCTTTCTGGTAATGTTGTAATGGACACTGTGCCGCTCGGGGTACCCAGATGTTAATAGATAGGACTCAAGAGGTGTTGGGCAGGCAATATTTTTCCGTCTCTCTGTCCCTAGACTGTGGATACCTCTCGGCTTTTGTTGGTTACATTTAGGTGGATGCAGTGATAGAAAACAGTACAAAATAATACATAATAAATTTTTGAGAAATATAACGCGTAATATTTTTTTCTAAACTCTCCAATGGTTGGCACAACCACCGATTGGAGGAGTCCTCGGGGTTTTGTCATGGGATTTATGTCATACATAGCTATTTGGCTTGCAAATCATAGACTGATAATAATAATGCAATTTATAACGCGCGCAAATTTGCGGTTGTAACGGCCGCAACTCAGAGGCGCGGAGCCAAGCTCAGAGTCGCTCGAAAGCGTGGTTATAGAGGTGAGTTTTTAAGTGTCTCTTGAAGGAGACGATTGAGGTGATGCTGCGAATGTGCAGAGGGATAGCGTTCCAGACTGTTGGGGCTGCCACCGAGAAGCGGCGCATAGACGTGACCATCCTGGATCTTGGTATTAAGAGGGGTTCGTGAGTCGCGCTGCGCAGCATCTGCCGTGTGCTGAGCTGCAAGTCGTCAATAATGAAGAAAGGTATGGCGGGCAGGCAGATGTGAAGGCATGGTGGCAGAGGCAGGCGATCTTGTATATGACCCTGCTGGCGATGGGTAGCCAGTTGAGGGCACGGAGACAGGCAAGTGAGCCGAGATGGGGATAAGTGCGGCCAATGACGACGCGTGCTAGGTTGTTTTGTAGTCTTTGAAGTTTTTTTAGGTTGCCGGTGGAGGTCCGGACTAGGACTGAGTTGCAATAGTCGAGGCGAGACCCAACTATGCAACATGCCAATGTGTTGGCAATTTCAGTGGAGATGAGAGGACATAGGTGTCTGAGAGCCTTCAGGTGAAAGTTACATGAACCGATGATATGATTGGTTTGACGGTCGAAGGATAAAGTTGAATCTAGGATGACACAAAGGTAGCTGAAGTGATCGGTGAACCTGATGCTGTGACCAAAGATGTGTATGTGTGTTGGGAGTGCTGTTGAGTTGAGACGTTGCTTGGTACCTAACATGATGGACACTTACTTTTTCGGATTAAGGGCTAGGTTGTGTGCAGTGAACCACTTTTGCAAGGCGGTGGTACATTCCGAGAGCCTCTCGAATCCAGATGCATTGCTAAAATCGATGGCGGTGAATAGAATAGTGTCATCCGCGTATGAGTGGTGCTTAACACCGAAGCTTGCGATGAGCCGGACGATCGGGGAAGTATAGGCTGTGAAGAGCAGGGGACCTAGAACAGAGCCCTGGGGAACCCCACATAATGCTCTTGTTTCAGGCGATGTGGATGTGCCCACCCTGACTGAAGATTGCCGGTCAGAATTATACAAAACTATCCACTTGAGTGCTGAGCCACATATACCGAAGTCGGATTTCAGGAGGGAAGTAAGGAGCAAGTGGTTGACGGTGTCAAAGGCTGACGACATGTCCAGACTTACAAGTGCAACAGTTGAGCCGGAATCAATAATCGTTAAAATGTCATCGAGCACTCTAGTGAGTGCTGTTTCTGTGGAGTAGTTTTGACAGTAAGCTGACTGGAAGCAGCAGTAGTTTGGGGAGGAGGTGATGTGGGGTTTTTGCTAGGCGAGGGCTAGTCGTTCAAGGAGTTTAGAGAGGTTCGAGAGATTAGTGATGGGACGATAACTAGATGGGTCATCCAGGTTGAGACTTGGTTTCTTTAACAAGGGGGAAACCAGGCCAGATTTGAGGTTGGACTGAAAACACCCCATAGAGAATGAGGCATTTGCGATGTTCCTGATCATGATGGCGAGTTCCGGAGCACATTGCTTGAACAAGGAACCTGGGAGCACGTCGAGTGGAGATCACTTCAATTGAAGTGATTCAATTAAAGAGAAAACGTCTTTTGTAGACGCCGGCTTGAGTGTAGTTAGAAAGGTGTCTTGGTGAATACTTACAATTTCTGAAAACTGGAGCGGGTACAATGGTGAGATGTGTGGATAGATGTGCAGGAGTTTGCGATGGTGATCAGCTTGTTGGTGAAGTAAATATTTAAAGAGGTGGCAAGTTTCAGTGAGGCCAGGGGATCGCTAAGGTGAGGGACCATGGTATTACCAGGATGTAGAAGATCCTTGACGGTTTTCCATAGAATGCGTGGTTTTCCGGTTTGCTGTTTTGATGCGTTCTGCAATGTAGGAGGAACGTGAGACAAGGCTACATTTGTTAGTTTTCCTGCAGGCAACTCTGTAGGCAAGTCGATCAGCAGGTAGACCACTGCGGGATGCGATAATTTCAAGGCGCCTCCTTGTTCGCTTAGCAATGATGGCGTCTCTTGAGAGCCCGTGAGTGTCGTGGGAAGACTGCCTAGCGGTTCGTGATTTTAATGGAGCCAGTTTGTCCAGCACCGCCCTCATGTCAGCTTTTAGTTGGAGAGCGCAGATGGTTGGATCCGATGATGGGGATAACATTGAAGGCGAATTTGCGAGGAAGTGGTGTAAAGCAGAAAACTCGATACCCTTGAAATTACGGGAGTGGCGGGTGAATTTGATGGTGATTTGCTTGGGAATTTGAAGGGAAAAAAGTACGAGGCGGTGGTCGGAGTAACCAGTTTGGAAAACTCCCAGTGCAGTGATGCGTCGATGCTGGTGAGGTTCCAGAACCAGGTCAAGCATGCTCTCAACATTTGTTGAGGAAGCTCTGGTGGGGCCTCAGTTTGTGATGACCAGGTTATGGCAGGCCAAGGTTGACTCAAGGTGACTATCAATGGAGGCTGGGGTATTGCGTGGGCAATTAATGTCTCCTGTAAGCACGAGCCTGTGAGATGGGTTAGGAATGAGGTAAAGGAATTCCGAAAGCTCGTTTAAGAAGGTAGTGAAGCTGCCATCTGGAAGGTGATAGATAGAAATGATGGAAAAGCACTCGTTAGTAGTGAGGGTTACGGACTGGACCTCAAAGGTGGTGGGAGACATGGTAGATAGAGCTCTTTAATAAAGGGGTTGTTGACAGTTTGATTTGGCTGAATGCCATAATGCCTTACAAAACATGTTTTTTTCGGAGATCTTTTTTTCATGAATGAATGTGTTCATAATATAATTGGCTCAAGTGTAATTAGATGCTGTTTTGTTATTTACATATTCTGGGCCAGGCTTTCAACAGGCTTGGGTACCCATACAGTCTATAAAAGCTTTAAAGGGCCTCTTAAAATGTTGTGTATCCATGTGAAAAACATGGCAGAATGCACATGAAGACATTAATAAGGAGATGCTTTGTTTCCCCTCCCCCCCCCAGGCTCTCAATGGCTTTGTGTTGGTGGTGACGGCTGAGGGACTGGTATTTTACGTCTCCCATACCATCCAGGAGTATCTGGGCTTCCATCAGGTTGCCCTTGCCAAAAGATCACAATTCACACACCGCCCGCTCTAACCTGTACTCAACTAAATGGCCATAGTCACCCCATGGCTGTTTGATGTAATAGCCAGGAATGCACGATCTTGTTCCCTCAATATGTAAACACCTCACTCCTGTTTAGATAAGCCATTTTATAAACAGGGTTTATTTTTTTACGTAATGAAAACAGATATTTTTTACTGATAGTACGGAAATGTTTCCGTAGATCCTTTGAAGTTTATTGTAAAAGAATGGCTTTTTTTTTCAAATGTAGTAGAGCCTTTGTGGTTTTACGAAGGGCTCAAATCACGGTTGTCACTGTGTTTGTGAAGAATGTCAGCATGTTGGATTCAGCGAGTGGGCCCGTATGAGTCGCATTTTCTGCATGGGTCCTGGATTTGAGTTCAACCCTCAACGCGAAACGTCAGCACAATCTCTGTGGTTCAACTGAAATGGGTCCCATGCAAGACACCCCTGCACGTCCCTCACCACTTGCCCCTTTCTGAACGATTTTGCCGATGTTGTCCTGGCATATATAACATAAGCACAATCCTTTAGGAGTGTGTTTTTTTATTATTGCGACTCAACACAATGTCCAGTACATAGCAACCAGTTACAGCACAGGTGGAGGGGGCAGGGTTTTGGGGGATAGAAACTCCGCCAGTAAAAACCCGAGAGCCGGGCGCACCAGGGGCTTAACGAAGGGGGGGAAATCGAGCTCTCTGTCCCACTCAGGTGGGGACCGCAAGCCAGAACACGAAAGCTTGTATGGGGAGGGAAGGATGGGGAAAGAAAACCAACATAATTAGGTAAAGAAGGGGAAGGGGGGGGAGGAGTTGGAACTTTTAAATGGAAATTTTATTAATGAGGCCCTCCTCATGGCGTGTTGATCATGGGGGGTAGTTTTACCATATGTCACCACGCTGGTCGGTACAGGTTAGTGAAGGGATGCCCAGGACCGATTGAGATCTTACCACCGATAGCCACGCTCGGGAATTTGTCTCTCATCGCAAATTTCATATTGCAATGCGCTGACCGGTACACCATTGCTCCACCGCAGTTCATGTGTAAATATATTTCTGGAATATATAAAAACAGTTTCACTATAAATAATTAATTTAAATTGTATGTTTAGAAACTAGGTTCGAAGCTTTCGTGACTGCAGGAATTACTCTTTGGTTCTTTCGGTAAAGTCACGTAGAAAATCAAATCAAATAATAATACGACTTTTCGATTTGCAACACAAGCAACCATCATCAGGTAAGAATGAATGAGAAAAAACAAACATAGTAAACTTAGAACCACAATGCAACACAACACAGAGAGCCGGCCAACACAACAGCCAACACCCCACTTGGCTGACCACGCTCCTCCAAAGAATGACAAACAGAAAGACAGAGGCCTTAAATAGAGAGAGGGGGGAGGGGTTGGGGCAGAGAGAGAGGGGGGGGGGATTAGGGTAGAGGACAATGAGAGAGTTGTGTGGAATTCCGGGCCATAGTGGCCAGAGAAGAGACAATGGACTATAAACAAACCAGCACGGCAATATTCAGAGCAAGAAAATGAGAAGTTTGAGAAAGTAAATTTAGTAAAATTCAAGAAGTGTAATGCAATGCAACACAGAGAGTCTGGTAACACACAACGCAGAGCCTGGTTGATTACGTTCTTCCAAAGATTGCTAAATTAGAGGTTAAGTGTGAAACAGACAAGCAAGGAAAATTAGAGAGAAAAATAGGAAGTTTGACAACAAATTCAGTAAAATTAGAGAGTGCAATGCAACACAGAGAGTCAGCTAACACACAGTTAACGCATAGCCTAGTTGATTACGTTCTCCCAAAGATAAATTCGAAGTTAAGTATTAGTTGTGATGAAACCTTCCCCGTAGAGTGGTTCAAACTAGATTCGAAGCTTTCGTGACTGCAGGAATTACTCTTTGGTTCTTTTGGTAAAGTCACGTAGAAACTCAAATAAAATAATAATAGAATACGACGTTTCGATTGCATTCATTCTTACCTGATGATTCTGCAAACATGACTGCTCATGTACATATTTACAATGATTAAATAATACGATATACATGTAGAAAATATTGCATGAACATTGTTGCATTTTCCCATGGACACAAGCAAATACAGTAATATCCGATTTAAGCCTCCCACTTTTAGATCGTTTTGCAAATACATCACCACTTTATTATTAATACCGCTACCTGATTTGCATCGCCTCAACACGCGCTTAGCTTTGCTGACAGCATCGTCCGTCCTTCCGCGTATCCGTCGCCTCTCAACCTTCGCCTCCACCTACTCCTCTGTAAATGCCTTCGATTGACGTTGTTTGGGATTTTCGTCGTCACACCGCTCAGGGACGCATCCCCGACGTAAACCGGGGGGGGGGGGGGGGGGGGGTAATACTGTATAAAGGCAATTTCGTTGCAATATGGTTATATTTCTTAAGGTACTACTTCGTCAAATATCTATGCTACAATGATGTAAACTAGTCTCTCATTGTAGTAAGTACTTGGGTTGCAGGCCACAATCTCTTACAGACACATGCTGCTACATATTTTTCTCACCAGAATGTCTGGCCACCCAGGTACTCCTATGATGTTACATCCTGCACACACAGCTGCCACACACACATAGTGAATGCCGAACTTGATAGCCATGGTCACCATTCGTTGAGGCTGAGATTTATGGGTTCTTTGCCATGTGTACTGTTTCGTGGATGTAAACCTTTAAGAATGCTGCAGTTTGAAACCTGTAATTTGACCTCTTAATGGGGGCCGTGATGGAAGAAACACACTTCTTTTACCATAATAATGCATGTTAACCAATATAACGCATGATGAGGTTGGATTTGGGTAGTCTCCAAAATCCCTAGTTGAAAGTGTTTTACGACATTTCCAGCAGGCACCCAGCCTTCGAGATCACCTGCTAACAATTTGGCCAGAGAAAAAGTTATTTTAACATTGTAAATGTATTTGAAGCCTCACTTGCCATGTTGTAAGGAATGCCCTCTTTGGATGTTTGGCCATCGTCTTATTAAGTATTTATTAACATACGGGGGGGGGGGGAACCAAAGTGCCCAGAGAAAGTTTGCCTTTATCAGAACTGCTGATGTTTTTTTAGAACTCCTTTCTTCATAACTGCTTTTTGTGTTTATTTTATTGTCCTTCTCCCGCAACTCCGATTAGCACGGTGTGAAAGAGGTTCAACATACATACATACATCAGGGGATAACACTCAACAATCTTTAAAGCTAATTGAGCTACCCACTTGCTGTGGTGACATTCTATGTGATCTGCCTGCCAACCTTGCACCCATAGCATTGAATCATAGGCATGTGCCACCGTGTATGACGTCAGCTATTAATATTAGCAGGTTGCATGCAAAAGGCAGGATGTCCTGCATTGGGGTTGCTTTTCTCATGATGTTTCTCGTTGGTGTGCAGTGCGACGTGGTCCATCAAAGTGTATACGAACTGGTCCACTCTGAAGATAGATACGAGTTCCTTCGACAACTCCATTGGGCTCTCAAGCCACCACCAGCAGCCAGAGATGCACACAAAGATGGTTCAGGTATGCATGGCAGCTTCAGAATTGCAATTAATAAATGCCTTTGTTTGAAAGATGCACTTCAAATTGAGCAGTGGCCTTGTGACTGTTTTTGTGAATATATACACACATTTAATGCCAAACCCAAAACTGGCCTCTGTATCTTGTGAAATGGTATTTGATGAAAAAGGATTTCCCTGTCTTTGGCTCAAGGGCTGCTCAGTTTGGTGCGTCTAGCTCATATCCACATTGACCAGGGCTTAGTATAACTGGATGGATGCAATGTATGATATGACTTTGTTGGGTTGATTAAACGACGTGTTTTACGCTCAATATCCTCCATAAAGGATACTGATAATGAAACATAAAGTAATGTAGTGGCCTATTGGCATCTTTGTAATTTACAGAATATTTGTTTAAAGGCATAGCAAATGTTTTGTCTACACATATAACATAGTTTATTGTAAATATGACTCCGCAATGAGAGCATGGATATTGGTTGTGACCGAGCCACAGTTCTGAGTGGGTATGAAATGTGAGTTAATTATATGTTTTGTACGATATAACATTTGTGGTTGGATGGTATAACCAGTTTCCTTAAATAAAAAATTATGATTTACCATCGTGTGACAGAGCAGTCACATATGTTGTACGGACATACCGAAGGAGAAGGTACATGATGCCAGGCTTGCTGTAACACAGCCTATTAAAAGTTATAGTTTCTACTGTGTGCACCTCTCCAATTGCCATTGTACAAATATGTAATCCATGTACATAGTAACCCATGCACATAGAGTTGTGACGTATGTACATAGTACTATAGGGCTGTTATGTTTGATGAATCACTGAATAGAGAGGATACAATCCAAATACAACCACATTGCTTTTCGCCTTTCCTTGTGATTTATTGCATGAGGCAACAGATTAAATCACCTGTTTTTGTTTATATTTAATTTCCTTTCGGCTTGCATTTTATTGCACTGATACGTGATACAATATTTGTACTAGCTTATGGAAAGTCACAATAACAATCCACTGTATGCTTAAAAAGGGCACCTTTTAAAACACTCATATATCCTTGGGATTTTTCTAATGGCCCTCTTATGTAATTGCACATTAGAATTACAGCTTAAAAACATAACTTAAACTCATTGAGGATACGTATAGCAGCTTTATGTGGCTCACATATTGCAGTGTTTTTGGATTTGCTATACATTGCATTTGTTCTGCTTTTAAGCTATGTACGCATCTCACAATTAGAGCTTGATACAATAACTTTTGAATCCTAAATGTAATTTGTAGTAAGGGAACAGGAATTTGAATGGTTAGTCATAGGTTAATTGATCAAATTGAATTTTTAGGCAGGCCTCTGTTTTGTGTTGATTAGATTTGCCTAAGCTGTCCCATAAATGGTTTGCTTCCTGCAGTGCCTGTATTCCACATCTAATTGACCAGTCACATGTGGATCTGTCTCTTTGCTGTGTTATTTATTCTTCTCTGGAGCTCAGCCGGAAAACAACCTTTTGGAATTATGGCATATAATTGGGTCAGCTTGTGCCATGATGCTCTAAGGCTTATACACCTTGTTTCCTCCCATTGTGCTTTGGTGATGAGACAATCAGGAGACAGTATAATGTCACCCAAGATGATCGTTATTTATTGTCTGCTTGTGTGTGCAGGTGACCAGGATGGCAGCACATCATCAGTGGCAGTATACAACCCACAGCAGCTACCGCCTGAAAACTCCTCCTTCCTCGAACGCCAGTTCATTTGCCGCTTCCGCTGTCTACTTGACAACTCCTCTGGCTTCCTGGTGAGATGGCATGTGCCCACAAACTCGTGTGAGCTCACATTTGAATTTCTTTGAGAGACATCTGATGCCAATTGTCTTTCACTGGAATTCATGATTTCTCCACATACTGACAAATATTCAATTAATATTATTAATAATATAATTTACCCACAATGTCTTGTCTGTATGTATGTTGAACTTCTTTCGCATCGTACAGAGCCAACCACGCTAATTGCAGGTGCGGGGGAAGGACAACCAACTCTAACGCAAAAATAACGAGACAGTACATTTTTGGTAGCGTTTGGCGTGTGTAGCTTGGTTTTTGGTCGTGTTTGGTAGCATTTGGAATGTGTAAGAAAAGCAGACTATCCTGAGAAAACCCACGACTATGAGGTGGTGACACTGAGCACTGCTATCTCCTGGCCTCCTTGCAAGCCCCATGCTGACAACATCTGGCAAACTCACAGTGGTCGGTACTCAACAAATTATTTGCCGATCCTGTGTTGGCAGTGTTGCAAAAGCATAAATAACAAAACGTTAAACACCTTTGTCAATAGTCTTGCCTTAAAATAAAAAAATGTATAATAGGCAACCTTTTGGGCGATGGCTTCACAGCAGATACAAAGAGTACTGGCAAGTCTCCAACCTACTTAGCTTCTTCGACTCCATAAGGGCGATACGTCCAGAATTTTCCCAAACCTTTTTCGCCTTGTCTTTCACGAGTATATAAACTAATTTTGACAAAGTATGATGCTTTGGTTTCAAGGATGATTCTTTGGTCTGAAAGAACTATATATACAACATAATATCACCACACATTGTCTTCATCGACAATGATCCTCTGTTTCCATCCATAAGTTGAAGGGTCTCAATGCTTTAACGAGTGTTGGATTCTCCATTTGGTGTCGATAGAAACACGGTGGAAATTCCACATTCCTACAGTGGAGGATAACCACTGTTGATTGCCCCACAAATTAATACTTTACCAATCCTGCAGGGGTAATAGACCGAGTCAACTCACAATTGGGAATTGAACTCATGAATGTCTAAATGTAAGTCAAGCACTTGACCACAGTATTAGTTGGGCCAATATGGGTTTCTTGAAACTTCGTAAGCATGTGTCAATGACCAACAATAAAATGTGGAGCTCTCATCCACCCATGCATTACAATTGATCCCCCCGTGCCAGCATTGACACGCAAATTTGCTCTCTGTACGCGCCAGGCTTTGCAGATGCAGGGACGCCTCAAGTTCTTGCATGGTCAGAACCGTCGTTCGGCGGATGGGTCTCTTCAACCCGCGCAGCTGGCGCTGTTCGCGGTCGCCACCCCTCTCCAGTCGCCCTCTATCCTGGAGATCCGCACCCGCAACATTATCTTCCGCACGAAACACAAGCTGGACTTCACGCCCATCGGTTGCGATGCCAAGTGAGCATTGTCTACTGGGCACACAGTCACGTAACGATACGACGACTTGACAGTTGGTCACGACTCGGGGGTTGTGATTCCATGCAACAATCAATGATTCTTGTCAAATTTTTGGCCATCTTGTTTGTATTGTTTCTAGTTTACCTCTGACTCGTCCGTCAAGTTTTCTTTGCTCAGTTAGGCTCAACGAAACATCAGCAAGTCATTTTCATTTGATTTGTATGAATTGTAATCACGTCGAACTAACATGATTCAATGCATGCATCCTGAGCGTGTGAACTGATTATAATAGATGCCTCAATGGATGATTACATGGCTACTAAGAGAGCCCAATAGTTTGTAAGTTTGACTACGAGTCCATTTGCATGGAGCTTATGGTTTGATTTTCAATGCGGCTCAGTCATTTTTCCGTGTAATTGCATTTTGTCTGCAGTTAAGTTGATGTTAAATACCATTTGTGTCATTATGTGCTACTTATGAACATTACTTATTGTTAATTCCTCCTGCTTCATTTGATTGCCTGTGGTTTAAAATGTCCCTCTATTTAAATCAAATTAGGAGTCAGACTGATACAACATAATCCATTATATGGAAAATCTAATTAAAAAAATTGACAATGCGCATAACATGTTCATCCAGAGTAGTTTTGGCTGTTTTTATGACATGATGTTGGGCAGCTTTATTGATTTATTTCATATACATATGGTCTTTTGTCGTTCCGCCGTCGGGATGAAGGCCTCGCCGACACTATGTCAGTAAATGGGGATTGGCTGCGCTCCACCACGCCGGTCAACGCGATTTGGTAACAAGTAAACCCGTAAAAACAAAGTTTTTCACTATAAATCCTTTATATGCGTGGTGGCTAGAGTCTTCTCGTCCTCTGGCTTGAGATGGCTGCCACCTATGGGTCAGATGATTGTCTGCCAGTATTAAGCAATTGGTAATTAAATATTTAATTTGTTTTCCATAAACAGTGTAAAATTTTGCACGGTCCTAAGCAAGCAAGCGAACTTAATATAAAGGATTTAAAAATATATTCGCCTGTGGAGGACGCGGGGATCGATCCCGCGACCTTTGGCATGGGAAGCGAGGGCGCTACCCACTGCGCTACTCCGCCACGGCCTGTGGAGGGGTTACGCTCTGGGCTCCTACACTGTGACGTTCAGCCAAAGCCATGAATGAGTTCTATTTTAATAAATGTAAAATACATTTTTTTTTGCCTAAAAAGTGTAAAGAAAAATGTAAAAAATTTTCACGAACATTAATTGTCTCGCACAACGAGTCTGTGTGGAAAATGTCAGCTCGATTGGATCACGGGAAGTGGGTTAAAAAACGACCGAAAGATTTGCACGGTCGTAAGCAAGCAAGCAAGCACGCAAGCAAGCGAACTTAATATAAAGGATTTAAAAAGGGGGGCCCAGAACTGGCTCGGATAACCGCACGTCACGGTTAGGAGTGGCAGGCAATCAATCTGGGAGTCGCCGAGTTCACATTTGAGCGCGCTGCGCTCGCCGCTGTGTCACGGCTCCGTCGTTAATTGCCCGATGTGTGTTTGTTTATAGGGGACGTATCGTACTTGGCTACACTGAGCTGGAGCTTGCCATGCGTGGCACTGGGTACCAGTTCATCCATGCCGCCGACATGCTGCATTGTGCGGACAACCACGTGCGAAGTGAGTAGCGGTTAGCACAGCCGGTGCGTCGGAGTGAATTATGATTGGAGACGATGTTTTCATCACTTATCCCGTGGCCAAAAGAAATCACAGAAAACTTTTATGTTGTCATGATAATTATCTTCCTTAGGCGGTCCAATTGAAAACGCTTTCTGCTTTTGTAATTTTATTTACAATAGTATTGATTTTGGTAATATATCAGCATGCCAATAATCACTTGTGTGAGCATCATTTACATGTTGGAAATGTCATAATTCTTAAAGTATTAAAGTGTATATATGAAGGATTATTTGGAATGTAAAAATTGCACATATATTTTGTTATGAGGAAGTGTTAACAAAAACCATTGCTTGTATACACTGTTGAATTGGTAAAGATAGAATGGATATATTACACCGATTCACTCCAGAACTGCTGTTGACAGCTAAATGCTAAAAAACGTTATGCCAATAAAGAAATACTCCCAAATCTTCAAGACAGCAGGTAACATATCTGGCGTCTTGCTTCCAGTTAAACTCGCCTATAGCCCGTCTAAGAATGGGTGTATCGCAGTAAATCTGAAATATTCAATCGAAAATAATGTTCCGCTCATGATTATTAATAATAGCGTTACGGAATTAGCGTGACATCAGGGTCCTGGATTTTTACATGTAAAAAATAAAATGTGTCAAAGTGTTAGTGATCGGATTGAGCTGAGTGCGATGTTTTCTGCTCTGCCCTGTTTGGCAGTGATGAAAACTGGGGAGAGTGGCATCACCATCTTCAGGCTGCTCACCAAGGGCAACCGCTGGGCTTGGGTACAGGCCAATGCGCGCCTCGTCTACAAGAACGGCCGCCCAGACTACATCATAGCAACACAAAGGCCACTCAGGTAGGCCATGCCTTGACCTAGTTGCATTATATTGGAGGACATACGTTTGAATTTCGATTTAAAGCTTTCGTGACTGCAGGGATTCATCTTCTTGGTTCTTTCGGTAAAGTCATCACGTAGAAGGGAAGTAATAAAATAATAAAAATAAAACATAATAAAATAATTCTCACGACGTTTCGGCTACAATTCGTGAGAATTATTTTATTATGTTTTATTTTTATTATTTTATTACTTCCCTTCTACGTGACTTTACCGAAAGAACCAAGAAGATGACATACGTTTGCTCTGAGGTAGTCAGGTGGCATGCCAAATATTGCCCCCTCAAGACACTCGGTCCCACTGCACTGAAATCAATGGGTTAAAATCACAGATACAAAGACATTAAAGATCCCCCATATAGCCTTAACAGACTGTTGGGGCAAGTGCTGTTAGCGAGCACCTACGAAGGCCGCCACGGCACACGAGGGGGTGGGGTGGCCAGCACCACGCCCGGCTGCCTTTGTCTCAGGTACTCATTTGAAACTGAGTGGACCTAGGGGAGGCCCAGGACCAGTTCAGATAATCATCACCGGTGTTGACCATGAGCGGTAATCAAACTCGAGTCACCGGATTCGTAGCGCAGCTCGCTAACCGTTGTACTACTGTTCCCCACAAATACAGTTGTACAAAGACACACCCAAAGAGACGTGTCTATCTGTATCTCCATGTGACCAACAGAGATTCTACAAAGAAGCACTCGCAGAGATATACACATATGTAGTTAGTGTATTATTGCACTTTTAACTGTACTTTGCTGGGGACAGCAAGTAATTTAAAAATCACGTGATATAATACGTAAAAAAATTGCGGTGAAATACTGCCATTGTGTCTTTGTGAAAAAGGTAACATTATATGCTCAGCAGCTTTTACTTTAAAGTGACCACATTTTCCACTTTTAAATGTGACAAATATACAAGAATGCTGTCGAAAATGTTGCTTGTTAGTGGAAGCTGCAGACAGTTGTAGGCTTACACGATGCTTATTTGTGCTCCTGCAGCAACGAGGAGGGAGAAGAACACCTGCGCAAGAGGGCACTGCAGTTCCCTTTCGCCTTCACGACTGGTGAAGCGATGCTCTACGAAACAGGCTTCCTGCCCCCGGAGATGCAAGGGAACCTTCCCCCGAAAGATGAAAATCATCTGTTAATCAAGAGGATGAGCAGCGGGAAGAATTCTGAGTGGGACAAGAAGGTGGATCCCAGCTCGCTGCTCGGTGCCATGATGCAGCAAGACCAGACCGTGTACGTGCGGCCACCAGCCACTGAGAGCCGTTTTGCCACCGACTTGGCAGGAGGTTTAAGCATGCCTAGCTTAGTGGCAGAGTCTTCACACAGCGTCGGTCAGGCTTCTGGGTGGAATGGAGGCAAGGGCAGTTTGTTAAGCTACGTGAAGATTGAGTCTGACGTGGAGAAAAGCCTCTCTGAGCCAAGTTCATTGGATTCTGGCTTTCAAGTTCCAGACGAATTGAATGATATTCTGGAAACACTGGGCCTAACTATAGATGACATTGAGTTACTTGAGGAGGAGGAGAAACAGCTGATGATGGATGTGGATTGTACACCAGACCTTGAGAGTATTCTTTCAAATGATGATATCCTTTCCTTGGTTCAGGAGTCACTCAATAAAAACAAATACCTGAGGGTACAACAGCCACAGATGCGTCATGGAAGCAGCAATGATTCCAACATGCAAACATTTGAGAACTACTTGCAGCCTTCACAGACATTCAACGGAAGGTTGCAGTCCCATCTTCCAACACAGAAAATGCGTCCGTATGGACAGTTTGGTGCAATGCCTGCTGATGGCATTGAACAAAAGTTTAAAGTCCCATGCAACATGCAGGGTTCAATAAGTACAAGTGGAACACAACCTACATCCATCCAGAATGTCAGCTTGCAAAACACTCCCTTTGTAAGTTCTGTCCAGAATGCTCAAAATGGTCCACTTCAATGTGCAACACATAATACTGTGTTTCAAAGTGGAATGAGCCAAAATATAGTGCAAGCCACAACCAGGAAAAGCAACATGCCTGGTCAGCTATCAAACTTGCAGCCTCAGGACTTCAAAGGACAGCCTTGGGGCACCATGCATGCACAAAGTCAAGATTTTGCAAACACGATGCAAGGCCACTTTGTCATGAATGGAAGTGAAGGGCAAAATGTAGCAGCAACTCAGAGCTATAGAGACAGGTTTCCAGGGCAAAGCATAACTTACAATGACACAATTAAATATGGAGTCCTTTCCCAGAATCTTGTGAATGGTGTACTGCCACAGAACCAAATGGGTGGAGTCACTGTCCAAAGTCCAGTCAGTGCCATGCAGGTTGAAAGTCCACTGAATAGTCTTCCGGTTCAGAGTGCATTAAATACAATTCATGGCCAAATGCAAATGAGTAGCCCAGTAGTGCAAAGTCAAATAGATGCTGTACCAACGCATGACAGTGCTCTTGAAAACATTTTATCCAAAAACTGCATGCAAACATCATTGGTTGGTGCTCAACCACAAGGCACCTGTGACTGGCCTCGTAAGACTCGCCCGCAAAACATGCATCTGCAGCCAATGGAGTTTCCTGGAGGACATACTGCAAACTTTAATGGGACAGTCGGCCACAGAGAGTTCAGCGCACCACAGCAAACGTGTAGCACTGGAGTAGCAGTTCCTTTACAGCAATCGTCATTTCCCGGCCAATCCCAACACTTCATGGGCTACTCCACAGACTCGTCGCAGTTGGGAAATGCAAGGAACCAACAAGTGAACTCACACGAGTATAACAACGACCAACAGCATCATCCGCTCCAGCATCAAGGCCAATACAATGAGGAAAAACGTATGGCTCCCTGCAATTTCCAGATGCAGAGTTCCTGTCCGCCAGCCAATCAGCAACGACTCACTGCTGAAGAGGTGAGATTCTTAAAGACAGGGCAATTGTATGAGCGATGCTCTCTGAGCAACTGCAAAAGTTTTTTCTTTACAAGATATTTGCCTTGCCTTGCTTGCTTCTGCAGATGTGCGTACTTAGGTGTGCAAATTAATTGATACTTTTTTTTTTATAATGTAGGTGAAACCATGAGGACATATTCACTTACTTTATTGACAAAACCACTGAAACACATCATCACAGATTGCTTCCTGGGACATTTTTTGTATCAATATTTTAAAAATAAAATAGAAAGGATAGATGCAGAAATTCTAGGCATTTAAAAATATCTAATTAGCAGAGCCAGTTTTTTTCCTTCATAGAACTGAAATACATATTGGCCATATACCCCATTGTGTTTGAGTGCAAGGACACCTATATCACCAGCATGAAAGAATACAACCCTCTTGCCAAGATGTGAATTATGGCATAGTATTACGGAATAAACTCGAAACTAAGCAGGAGGATGGAAACCACATGGTGAGTTTGGCGACTGATCTATCCTCATACATTTGACCAGCAGCTTCATGAAAATGCCTTACCGTGCAAGATATGCGTGCACACACATATACAGTTCACACTGTACGTGTGTGCACACGTAAATCTTTGTTTATTCATGTATTTAGCAAAACCCTGTCACAAGTAGGATGTAGTTTCAATTGTGCGGTGATCCAGCAAATTATGAATGTTGGCTTTCCATTGTGTTTTAATGCTACATACAAAATAGGCAATGTCATGGGTTGCATTGTCAGACTTTTACACCCACCCATTCACCTTCAATTTGAAACGCATGTGTTCTGTGCTTCCGGTGATATTAGTAAGTTTGAAAAGAAAGTAACTTGCCTATGCAAAAGTGGCGAGATTTGTTTTGATTACTTTTTCTAAATTATATTATTATTATTGATCTTCAGGTAAAACTTTAGGATTATGGAATTGGCAGCACTGGCTTATGACCACCAAGGCAGATATGAGCACTGGGCCTTGCTTATTTGTGCAGGGAGAAACAAGGACTTTAATGTAAAAAGCCATAGATACCCGAAATTCCACTGGTTTATCAGAATCCTAGCCATAGGTGTTGTGTATGGATGGGACATGGGAAGAAAAACACCGAAATATCGGTGAAAAAGAAGTTTTAATTAATTATTTACAGGAAAGAGTTATTTGACATATTCACAATCAATGTTTAATATAGAATAAAATAATGAATAATTCATACAATAGCAAAACGTATACTCTAAAGACCGATGTTGCACGATCAACACTCAATCAACAATTAACTTACATCTACTTTCCAGAATGTCAACTTTAAACCTATCTATAGTACTGTCAATGACGACACGTTGTTTTAATCAAATATCTTAAATATATACCAGCCTTTCAGCGTGAAAAACAAAACAGAAACTAATTTCTTTACAACTGCTTTTTGCGTTTAGTTTGTTGTTGGCTACGTACGGTGCGAAATAAGTTCAACATACATGCATATAGCAGCTCGATAAGAGACATTCGGCCATCGGGGATCCTAGTCTCTGTTTGCACCACCTGGGTTAAAGGGAGCTTGGGGGAGGGGGGTGCGGCGTCTCACTGTCGGCACACATGGTATTATTGTTGCTGTCAAATGGCGGACAAGTCACTTGTACATAATTTATTACCAATGCAGCTTTAGCATTAATTTCACTGAACGCTTGCTTCACGTCTTGACTCGTTGCTGATATTGCAAGTGCAGTGTTGGCTTAAGTGCTGCTGTGAATGTGAAGTCACACGGTGGCTGGAGGTTTCGTCCGTAATTCAATGTGTTGACAGGGGAAAGATTCTGATATGAAATGAAGCAAAACGTTTACCTGTCTTGAATTTAGTTGAGGTTGCTCAACACCTGGATGAATATAATTGCCACTTGGTGGCAGGATGTACGTTTCCCTGTCGTATGAACCTGAAGCAACTGCAGTGACCTGCAGAACACATGGTTGCAGCAGACCACAATTGTAGTTGGCAAACAATACATACATATTCCAATCATGTCAACATTACCAATGATTAATTTCTAAAAGTTGTGTTGTGAGACACCACTTGGTCAGGAATCAGATTGTGTCGTTGTGAACAGCTAATTGTGATGAGCTACAACTGTAAATGCATCTTGAATGTTAAATGTTTGGACTCCTGTATTACAAAATGTTTCCTGCAGAAAAAAACATGCTTTGTACTCACGAGACTCTTTATATGAATGTGTTCCGAAGGCTTTAAAAAAAAGATCACCCAAGCCACCCCTTTTTTGGTAGAGTTTTTTTCTTCAATAAGAGGTTTTTCAAGAATGAAACCTGTTCAGAAATACAATGGTTGATACATTTCTCAAGACAGTTACAGACACACCAGAAAAGACACACAGCAATAAGCACGCAGGCATACTTGTGCTGCCCATTCACATTCGTTTATTTCAGATTATCATAACCACACTGATGTTCATCTTCAGAATGTACAGAGAATAACATATGTATTTTGTATAGCTCACAGGTCAAATTGGATTTTAATGTTTGCCAATGATGTCATGTTGGGTCTGGCTGGAATAGGCCTTGGGTCAAAGTGTAACAGTGGAGTGTTCAGTCCAGGTATTGTTGCAGGTTGCTTTGTATTTAAATAGCGATGACTCATCCACATATGTTGTAAAGCCTAGGAAGAAATGCATACTTTTAGCTAATTACGAAGTGCTTTTGACAATACGGGTACTGGTGGTGATCATTGACGCATGTTTAATTGGTTATCAATTAGCATAATGTATAATGCTTAACATGCATTGAGGGGTTTGTAGCGAAATAGAAGAAATCCCTTGAGCGGTACGGTTTTTCCATACTAAGACCTCGGATGTCATGCCACAGTTCACTTCACATGCAAAACTTGAGTCACATTTGGACACAACCATTTCAGTGTAAGGGGGGATGTTTTATGGGCTAGTTTCCTAATTTCCTTACGACTGTCCAGGGAGTCATTTCAGCCAAGTCTATTGAGGTTGGTAATTCGGAAAAAAAATTCCACATGCTTTACGACATCCACCAGTACTTATACCCCTCATTATTCATAATAGACGTTTTTTTGGTTAGATCGTGTAAATATATGTCGTTAAACCTGCCACCACCCGACACAGCCAACTAGTAAGGGTTGTCACGTAAATGGAACATGCCAATTCGTCACTAGTACAGCACACCGGTGTGTTGGAGAGCCAAGCCACAATATTTACAAACTGAGTACGACGTTTCGCCAGTAATTACAACTAGCTTCATCAGGAGACAACCCAAAAACCTCTTTTATGGATGATAGTGGTTGTGAAAGCCTACGCATTAAACTGATTTCTATTTGTACGACGTTTCGTGGCGGGTTTAACGACACATATTTACTGATTGGTCCACACCTCTGGTCTAATACCGTTTGAGACGAGGCTCAAAAGAAAGCTGTCTCCTGGTGTGGACCAATCAGTTTCAAGAACAATGCAAAAATTATCAGAGTATGTTTTTTGTTTGCATTCTGACCACAAGCATTGTGGTTAATGCAGACATGATTCCTTGTAAAAGGTTTCAGTTTGGTGTTTTATCATCTTAACACAACGGTTTTGTTGCCATAAAAAAGGGGAAAAGCTATTCTCATTCAACACATGGTTGCTGTTTACACAGAAAAATACCTGGTCTACAATGTGGCAGGTATACAAGGTCATGGATAAGGGAATTTGTGACTGCAAAAATGTACATATTTTATGCTCCGTTGACAAAAGTTTGATAGTTCTATAATGACTGCCAACAAAGTCCCAATATACTTCACAGTATATCGCTCAAATGATACGACTCCCAATAAATGATGCATTGGCATGCAGGGTTTGGCATGCAGGGTTTGCCATGCTTTTCGTGTCTTCACAACAGCCGTGTTCACAAAACGAATACCGAATATAGTGTAGGATTCAGCTTTGCAGTGACAATGATGGAATACACACACGCACATCATTGTAATGTACGTAGCGTTGGACACATGCCGAAAATAGGGTATTAGGACCGTTTGAATAGTCGGTTGTACGTAGCAGGCATAATGCATGTTGGAGGAAAGGCAATCTCTTCCTGTTTGGCAGATACACGTTAAAGCGGAGCATTTTTTCCACGAGTTTTGCACGTGTAATTATTTTTCTCCTTGTGCTCATTAAATTTACGTTCCTTTCTCTGACCATCCCACCCCACCATTGGTCTTCTCCAGATGGCGGCCATTTACTGCACTCAAGGCAGTGTGCTGCTCCCTGCTGGTGGCGTCGGTACGGCGAACGCGGCAAGCCTGGCTCCTGCAGATGGCGCTCAACCCTACCCTGAGATCAGCCAGACGGAATACTACGGATAAGTGTTTGAAAAGAAAAGTTAGATATTCTTCATGGGCTCAAGTGATGGGTTTTTTTTCTCCAGATCCCCAGAAGGCACGTTCAAAGGACGAAGAAAACATGGAATGTGAAAAACAGTGAATCGGACGTTCAAGAAAAATTGCACGTCATGTATATAGACCACATTTTGAAAATACCAATAATGAAGTGTTTATCTCAACAAAATTCAAACACGCATGAGCATTATTGAATGCAAGTTCACATTTTAGTGTATGCTTTGATCCGCGTATGAGGTCATGCACAAAATCTTCTTTACGCACACTTTGGTGTATGCTGCTTGAATGCTCTTAAGGAAGGATTAAATATTTTCCGAATGAACACTTCTGTGAGCTTTATATCTCGATGAGCAAGCTGCTTGTCGTTTCCAGCTTTCTGTGTCTTACACAGCAGAAGTTATTTATCTTAACAATGGTACACACATTAAATATATTCCTAAATGGTATCTGCATTATCATCAACGTTGGTGCTTGATTATATTTGCATAGTCACAGCAACGTAATAGTTATTGTAATCAGAACGAATGTTATTGTTAGAGAATGGCTGCAGTAATTGTTTGTCGGGTCATATCACATACAGAAGAGAATGTCTGTAAAGGGCTGGTCTGTTCTGAAATGTTATAGTTACCACACAATGGGTAAATACAGTACACCCTTTTGATTTACAGTTTTTAAAATGTGTCAGGCATACCAATGTTGTGTCCAGAGCACAACATAAGTGGCCTAGAGTTCTAACAATTGCAGGTCGTCCACTGGGTTGACAGTACAGTAATTAAATTCAAGCAGAAACATTTAAATATTGATGATTGCAGTAATGCAGCTGTATTGTCAGTTTGTCCAAGATGATCCTGACACTGCATTAATTGTTGAAGCATGCAATGGCACCATTTCCAACTAGCTTTCAATGGCACTACACTGGTTCCATACAACAAAAGTACATGGTACCTAGAAGAAACACTAGTCTCATGAATGGAATTGTTTTTACACAGCTGTTTTACAACTGCAATTGTGCACAGCACGGTTAATTTAAAACTAAAAAATACATACATTATGTAAGCAATGGCTCATTATTTAGCTCTCAAATACTACACGGGTTTGTGTAACAAGCTAATCGCACTTGTTTGCAAATACTGAACTTTGCACTTGTTTATTTTCTCACACAGCCACTGCAAGAGAGGGCACTGCGATCAGTCTTTCACGCACTTTTGGCAACATAAATAATCCCTTCTTGACTGTGGAGACCAAATTCTATTCAGTTCTTCACTCATGTTAGTTTGGTCCTCAGTGAAATGTAACCTATCTTAAGATGTGCATTAGGAGGAAATGTTTTAAAGTGTTACCAAGTAAAACTCCAGCATATACCATTGTTAATACCATCAATTTGTGCGATTCGCAAACATTGTCTATGAAACCAGTAAATACATATTTTTGTTTATTTTACTCGAGTACATCCATTCTGTAAGTAATCATTTATTTGGTCCTCTGATGATGTGTATATACATAAACTACAGTGTATCAGGCTTCTTTCTGGTCTATAAAGTCTATTTTGATATTTTTGCTTCCATTAAAATATCTTCCACTGCAGGTTCTTTACATTACCTCAAAATGAGGTGTCGTTTTAAGTTTGTTTGTTCATTTCTCAGTCTTAAGTATGCATGTTAATTTCTGTAGTGGAAGAGGTTGTGGGAATTAGATAAATTAGAAAATCGTACTTGTTTTTTTCTTGTTTAAAATGGTTGTAAGTTGTCATATCACAACTTAAGATAAAACATTTACTGTTTGAGGCTCTTATTCTTGTAATTATGTAGTAAATATTGTATCAAAAATATTTTTACTTAACATTAATTAGCACTTACTGTGAGGACAAATCATGAAAATTGTAATCCTTACTGTATAAAATACATGGTATACAATATACAGTATACATAATTGCATATTGGAGCTGGTTGATGACAAATTGTCCATATAAACTGTTTAAGTTTATTCAAATGTCAATTTGGCTTTGCTCAGTTTTTCTGCTGCTGTGTTAACTATGTTTTCAATTGCATGCATTGCTTTTCTATATTTTTGTTACTAATTGTTAATAAAAACAAGATGGAGACTTGGGATAGTTTTCAGGCCTTGTGTAAGAGGTTTGGATAGGGACACTAATAACTAGTGAGAAACAGTTTTAATTGTTATTGTTCTTTTAAGTCACTAATGTGTTGTTGTAATGGTAGTCTGTTAGTTGCAACATGGTGCTTAACATAGTTTCAGAAATATTGGTCTCAAGGTCAATCAAAAATAAGTCAAACACAAATGTGTGTCAACTTTCAAGGAAACCGAGGCAATGAGTTGGGAGAACCTGCAGATGCTCATTGGTTGCCACTTTTTTTTCAAAATAGGCTTGACATTGAGTAGACGGCACAAGTGAAGTGTAGTGGTAACACAGTAAAGTGTACATGTATGTCCATGCCATTAACATGAACATTTGAAAACTCAAATGCTGTATAGAAATGCATTTTTTACCCTCACTTTGTTAAACATGTATGTACCAGCTCTTAATCTTTATATGTATACTGTATATATGAAATATGTATTCACAAACGTAGATTGCATTGCTATTGCATATATATTACACAATATATTTGGCTATCATATAATTGATATTGTACAGTACTAATATTTAATGAGTTTTTACACATGTCAAATACCATTTGTTTTTGTTATATTGTTAGATTTTACTATTTGGCAGCCGACAGCATGTTTTGTAAATCATTAACCTGCTCAACACACCAGAAGTTTAAAACTAAAATCTACTGTCCTGGAGGCAAGACCTTTTCTGTGGTCTCGCTTCACCACACACACGAAGCTTCACACTGTGGAAGCCCTCAGTGCTATCACTTCTGTGGCCATCAGTGGTTTTCGTGAGCTACACATCAGGGGTTAGATTTTTTGTTGCTAATGGAGTTTGCTCCCTTAGTGTGGTGCTAGCAGGGACATAGCACAGGCCAGTTTGGCTCAGGACTGGCTCTCAAGTATTAGCCCGCTCGAGTTGTGAGCAATCAGCTGAGCCCTGCAGCATTTCAATGTTTTGGTAACAGAGAAACAAGTCTTGGTCATATGCAACCTCTTAAGCGGTGGCAATGAATTGCCAGGGCTCACCTCATCATGATCTCTTCATGCATCTTTCTCCTTATATGAGTGAAGGAGGTGCGGATGTGACTGGTGGTGGCCCACCACTTGGCAGGTGTAGAGAACAGAGTTGTCGATTGGCGAGGTCACAAAACTCGTGAGGTCCGGGGAGTGGAGCTTGCTGTGTCAGGATTCAGTCAGGTTCAGACTGACTGCCTTGAGGTGAAGATGGCCATATTTTATAGGATCAGCTTGACATCGAAGGTGCTTGACGTTTGAAGTCACAGAGAAGCTGTACTCGCCGAATCTACAAATCATTGGCATACATTTGGGATCTGGTGTTCAATTAAATAATCTGCCATGTCAGTAGTTTTGAACGTTCGAGTGGAGGAGTTTCAAAAAGGGACTGGCCCTATCCTTGCTCCATAAGAGTGGCCACAATTTTGATGGGTTTAAAGGAAAATTGGTTGGCTCATCTAGTCTGGTCATCAAGCAATATGTCAAGTGAGGTCCTGCAGTGAGGTTGGAGGTGGTCCCAATGAAACCCTCTAGCCTTTAGAGTGTATTGCAAATCAGACTTTGAGTCCCTGGCTACGTGTTAATTTAAGCTTTTGAATATGAAAATTGTGTTTCTGGTGGCCGGTACCTTGACCAGGAGAGTTGGAGAAATCCACGCGCTACTGTATATTGCAACCCTTCAGTCATTGTTCTTCATAGGGATAAGATAGTGTTGACGATCCTGCCAGGTTTTTTTCCCAAAGTGGTGTCCAAGATTCACGTAAATCAGGAAATTGTTAACCTATTTCTGCCCAAACCATTCAGATTTGAGGGGCAGAGGTTCTTACATAATCGTGGACGTGATTTGCTACTTGACGTTTTATTCTGGGCAAAACAAGGATTGGCATTAAAATGAACAACGTGTGCTTTATTGAGGCTCACAGTTATTTAGGTAGTCTCAAAATCGAGAATTGGCATCTGTATCATGAATTAAGAGGTATTCAGCCATCTCTAAGCTGTATGTATGGTCCTCTCTGCAAAAGGGCTATGGCGACGCCATGCTAGCAAAGTGCAAGCTCAACTGGAGAGGTATTTGTGAGGGGGCTGTGGTGAAAACCACACTTTAGTTAAGCACTACAGGCTTGACACTGGCCTCAAGGGATATCACGTTTGGCAAAGCAATTCTCTTGTTGGGTGTCCCTTAGTTTCATTGATGCATTATTCTCCCACCTCCGGAAAGGCTATGTATTGTTTTACGATTTCCAGAATGTCAAAAGCTGCTGAAGGTAAACACATGAAACCTGGTTTTGTAAGGCAGCCATTGGCATGTTCCACTCCCTTCTTCCCCACTGAATGAGGGATCTGTAGTTTTTGTGTGTCCCCATCTGTCTCATTTATTTGAGAGCAGTTTGGAGTTTTTTTTATTGTTTAGTTTCAACAGTCACTGAGGGCTTCAATTGCACAGGGTGACCTGCGTGGTGATGTGGAGCCCCAGCAGTGACGGGTGTTACCTAAGGGTGGTTATTTTTCGAGTTTAAGAACTTCTGGTGTGCTGGGCATGAAGTGAAGTTAATGATTTATGAAGCAAGTTAATTTCTGACTCAGAAATCCATGCTTTAGGTACTGCTAGTGTAATCCTAGTAGTCATAGCCTGATGTTATATCATAGATGGAGGTAAAACTTTTTTTTATCGTATCATAGTCATTCTAATTTTAGGTTTTTTTAGCTTTTATAATACAATATTTCATTACCATGTTTATATATTGTGTCGGAATATTTGACCTACTTGATTTGAAGCTTTCGCGACTGCAGGAATTACTCTTTGGTTCTTTCGGTAAAGTCGCGTAGAAACGTGACTTTCGTTCTACGTAACGTTACCGAAAGATCCATAGAGTAATATTTGACAAGGCTGACAACTAAATCTAACTTGTAAAAAACATCGTTTTAATTAAGTGCCTTTAGATGAAACAAACCGTTTTTAATACTTGTCGGTTAATTTGTATTTGCTGTTTATAAGTGTAATTACAGGAAATATATTGCAAGGAAAAAATAAACATCTTTGTTGGCGTGACTACGTGCCCAGGTCTTACCACTCATGACTCTACTTGCCATGGACTACACTTATCAGACTCACAACCACAAGACACTCACCACTCTCAAGACACCACTCACACCCATCAGACACTTACCACTTAGGCACTCACCAGACATTGACATGAAACACTACTCACCATGCTCCACGCACTCATCAGACACTCAACCGCAAGTCTTATATATGTTGAACTTTTTTTAACCATACGTGCCCAACCGTGCTAATCGGAGGTGCGGCGGAAGGACAATCTAAACAAAAATAAATTCAAAAAGAAATGTTTTCAGTCTAGATGTAAAAGTGTATAGCTTCAGTGGCTTCCTAATATCGGAAGAGCGTTCGAGACGGCCACAGAAAGCGCATCTGAAAGTGAGCGATGAAGTGACCGTCTTTGTTCGATGGCCAGCCAAAAGCTGCCGCTGCAAGAGAAGACCGGAGTTTGCGTGATGGTTTGTGCTCCTTGACGAGATCAGCAAGATATTGTAGGTGAATTCGTGGCAAGTACTTTGTGTGGAACGAGCGCGACCTTATAATGTATTCGTTCAGCAACCGGAAGCCAATGTAGCTCAGCGAGCACCGGACGGACACGGTCGGATCTTGCAGTACCCGTCACGAAACGTGCTTAACAAATTCCCCAGACCTCGCGATTTTCACTTTCGACTCATATCCACTCAACAGTGATGGTGACGGCCTAACACCGGAGCAAATCTAAACCTTTACATCCACGCGTCGTTCTCTCCGCCGGTGTGCCTCGTGCACCCTCGTGGAGCGCGCTGCCAATTGGGCCACAGCCTTGGGCGGGGAATTGAAATGCGGCCAATCAGAGGGCACACGACGTGACGTCAGTGGTGATGGGGAATCGACACCGCCGATAATTCTGATTGGTCAGTGATAATTCCCCGACAACTAAGCAGCGTTATTGCTATTGTTCAGTGATGACAATGATGGATGTTCTTTGTCCGTTATTAAAAACTGACGCGTAACAAATATCCTAACCAGTATTTATATTATGAGACCTCCTTTGCCAGTAGCAAGATATGGTAATAGGTTTTTACCCTTTTATCTGGCACAAAAACGGACACCTTTATACAAGGGATCATGTTTGCAATAACCACAACACAAGCAGTCAAAATACAAACAAAAAGAGACAACTCTGATAATGATAATTGGTTTTTTACCCTTCTATCTGGCAACAAAACTGACACCTTTTTGCATTATAATGTGCACATTATCAGAGTTATGTTCTTTTGTTTGTATTATGACTGCAGGTATTGCGGTCTATGCAAACATGACTCCTTGCAAAAAGGTGTCAGTTTTGTTGCCAGATAGAAGGGTAAAAAACCAATTATCATATTTTTACTGGCAAATGAGGTCCCCATAGTGTAAACTCTGATAATGACATGCACTGTCCTTGAAAGTGATTGGTCCACACCCGAGACGGCTTTTCTTAAAGCCGAGTCTCCAGAATTTCAAGGACAGTGCATATCATTATCAGAGTTGTTTCTTTTTGTTTGCATTTTGACTGCTTGTGTTGTGGTTATTGCAAACATGATCCCTTGTATAAAGGTGTCAGTTTTGGTTCCAGATAAAATGGTAAAAACCTATTAAGATATCTTGCTACTGGCAAAGGAGGTCTCATAATGTAAATGCTTACCCGGAGCTCTCAATACTCTGATAGTGCGCTGTTTTTGAGTTGTATGCCTTTTGGCGTTATCTGGTCCAACACCAGTGGAGACTAGGCTCTAAGAAAAGCCGTCTCGGATGTGGACCAATCAATTTCAAAGACAGTGCATATCATTATCAGAGTTTTCTCTGTTTGTTTGAATTTTGACTGGTTGTGGTTATTGCAAACATGATACCTTGTATAAAGGTGTCAGTTTTGGTGTCAGATAAAAGGGTAAAAACCTATTACTATATCCTAACCAATACTGTATGTAAATGGAGTGTGTGTATGTGTGTTTTCCTTATAGCTTTTGGCAGAATTATCAGCAATATCAAGAGTGCCCTATGGTTAAATTTCGATTTAAAGCTTTCGTGATTGCAGGGATTTATATTCTTGGTTCTTTCGGTAAAGTCACATAGAAGGGAAATAATAAAATAATGTTAATAAAACAATACAAATTATCACGACGTTTTGGCCACAAGAAAAACAGAGCTGTCTTTCCGACAGACCTGTTCTTCACCTGAGGACGGCTGCTTGCGTTGTGGCCGAAACGTCGTGAGAATTTTTATTCTGTTTTATTTTAATTATTTTATTATTTCCCTTCTACGTGACTTTACCGAAAGAACCAAGAATATAGTGCCCTATGGCTTAGACTCTGCCGATGTCGGGCATTGATGGATGTGTGAGCCACATGGTTGGCTCGGCATGGAGCGGTCATTCCCCACGTGCGGCAAGCACAGAGCGCGGCGGCTTACCAAGTGTCACACCGTGACACCAACAAGGGCTCAACACTTCACCAGATTCCTGAATGCAGGCTCATATGAAGATGGCGATGATGATGGTAAGGGGCCGTCCATAAATGAGGTCACGCGATTTTGGACGATTTTTGACCCCCCCCTCCCTCGTCACACGGCGTCACAAAAAGTCAGACTCCCCCCTCAAATATGACGTCACAAAGCTCTGCCCTCCCCCCCCCCAAAATATAAAACATACTCCAAATCGCTTTAAACTATTGTCATTGAAGTGCGTATTTAATGTGGCGCTGCACTCTAATGTTGTAGGAGAAAACATTTATATAAAAGTATATTTAATTAAGTAGAACGTGTTTATATTTATTTAAAGTTGCGCATTTTGATGTGACGTCACATTTCTCAACCCCCCCCCCCCCCTCGTAACACATCGTCACAAATGTCTGACCCCCCCCTAGGTGCGTGACGTCATTTATGGATGGCCCCTAACGACGACGACAGTGGTTCTTATAATGATGAAAATGAACATGGCTAAATGACTCCAGCTGATGACGATGTTTCTGCGGCTATTCTACTGATGATGGTGGCGACGGTGATGCAGAAAAGTGTTCCCTTTACGCCTCGTTTGTAAGATGATTTGACATGTGAATGCAAACTGGAATACCCAGAGAAAAATCATGCTTGGAAGGGATAACGTTAAAAAAAGTCCACAGATTTAAGATCCAATGCCTCTTGACTTCTGGACATCTAGTACTTTAGTGAGTTTTGGACTTTAATCATTCTCCACGTGATCCAGCAACACATGCCTCGAAAGTGATGGGTTATGTGGTGCCACAACGACGGGGCCGCTCTGCCGAGCCAGGGAGCCGCCCGGCTTCCACCACTGCACTGCCCCCCATCACCCCCCCCCCCACATAAGCACGCACCCGCACCCACGTAGGGCCTTGTGGTCGGGTCACCTACCCTGAGTTTTCACCCGAGGGCCCCCTCGGGGGGTTACCCCACGGTTTCTCAGGGCCAGGGAATTGGACAGGACCCTTCCCAGGCTAAGTAACACTGCGGCGCCGTGGGCGGATTTGAGATCGCACGACCACGGCGAGCTCAGAGAGCCCCGCAGTTAGAAACGCATACAAACACAAACACGGGTCAGCAAGGCAGATAGCTGGGATCAGGACCCGGGGCTACTGATTGGTCAAAAGGTCAAAGGCCGGCGGGATCGCAAAAGGGCGGGAAATCCTAGGCTCAGGATTGGTCGAGAGACCAAGGCGGTCGGGACGGGGGCGCCTAGCCTTTGATGTGGATAGTTTAAAAGAAAACGCAGGGGCAGTAGGGAACTTCTCTTCTTCTGGAGTAGAGACACGGGGTCAACGACGAGGGAGTCATCGGGCGAGCTGCCAGATCGTCAGCAGGACGACCTGAGCGCCGCAAGGTCACCTAGGACTACAGACGGTATCGTATTACGCGCCTTACAGCACCTCAGAGCGGAGAGTAGGATCCGTAGGAGAGGGTTAGTTCGGGGTAAGGACGAGTAGGAAAGCGGTTTAACAGAGATCGCAGCATAGAATAGGGCTGCACGCCACTAGAGAGTGGGTTAGAAGCGCCTTGCTGGCCCGTACACACACACGGGTGGCTCGGTGGGTTAACAAGGGCTAATAAAATCTCGAGCGTAGTAACAAAACCGTGTTGTTGGGTGTTTTTTGAACGTGGTATTAGCGTGCACTGCATTCGCGGGTGTGTGGTCGTTGTATGCGTAAAGGCCGTGGTCTCTGTACGATTGTGCGGGTACGGAGGTGTGTGTGTTAACGCCCGGGGAGAGCACTTTTGTGTGTTGGCGTGCCTACGCAGCCGTGTGAGAGGAGAATCGTCCTTGCACGATACTTGTGTTGACGTGCACGCGCGAGTGCGGGAGGGGACGAGTCGTTGTGTCGGCGTGTGCCCCGCTTGCGTGTGCTCGTTACTTGCGTAAGCTCTCGGCGTGCGTAATCGGCGTACCCCAGGTGCGCGATCGTAACGTGAGCGGCCAGCGTGGCGCAGAGCGAAGCTGTTAGCTTTGTGCGAGCTTGCGTGTGCTCGAGCGCGTAATCGGCTGCGCATTGTTGTACGGTTTGTCTCGTGCGCACGGCGGCGGCAACTTGAGTCGTTGTGTCGGCGTGTGCCCCGCTTGCGTGTGCTCGTTACTTGCGTAAGCTCTCGGCGTGCGTAATCGGCGTACCCCAGGTGCGCGATCGTAACGTGAGCGGCCAGCGTGGCGCAGAGCGGCGCAAGAGTGGGTATCGCGTGTGGAGCTGTATGTGTGTGCGCGCACGTTCACGACGTGTGTAATACAGGTGCGCGATCCTAACGCGAGTGGTCAGTGTTGAGTGAGTGCCGTGCAGAGCTGTGTGTGGGTGTGCGCGTGCGTAATTAACCATGCCTGCTACGCGGACCCGCGGTGGAGGGGAATCCTCGGGCGACGGCTCCCACACCATGGGTGAGGGACCTAGCAGCGGTTCGCTTAGCAGCGGGGGGGCGATTGATGATGTTAGCCCGGCCGTTAGCATTATTGAGGGAGGGATCTCGGGGGCTAGCGACCCCCACAGTTACAGGCATCATTCGCACGCCACATGAGACGCGCATTTAACGATGAGTCGACCTAAGAGAGGTGACCCAAGTGTGATTCCTGACCATGACAAACAGTGGCATGAGCAGAACCGGCCCTAGAACTTTGGGGGCCCTAAGCAAAATTTGGTTGGAGGCCCCTTTGATGTAGGATTTTTTTCACCCACTAGCCAGCCGTGACTCTAGGGGGCCCTCTGCTGGCCACGAGGCCCTTTGCAATTGCAAGGGTCGCTTAGTGGCTGGGCCGGCTCTGGGCATGAGGTATTTGAACTGGTTCCTGGAAATGCTGAAGGGAGTGAAGCTAAGAACGTGCGTGGGATTGCTGGTCACAGCTGACGTCAGTGACGTTCAGTGTCGCCAAGTCTCACGAGATAGAACGCGCACTGCTTTTAAAAACAATCCCAACAACCGATTTCAGAGGAAGGGAAGTAAATGATATTTTTTAGGAGTTCTCATTTTTACACCTGATATTAAAATATATTTATGGATACTTACATTATTTAAAAAACAAAAGGTCATCCTCACTCCCTCCATCTCCGTGTTCTCTGTTGCCTCAATGTGGCACATTCCCGTGTTGAAAAAAACATTGAAGTATATCCCACGTGGCGTGGTGGGTTAGAGGAGTTTACCCATTGTGGGGGGCCATCCATACGGGGCCCAGGGCGACTCACACTGGGCCCCCCGACACCTTCGAACTAAATCGGAAGTATTACATCTGACATCGTGACGACGAGGCGCGCCTGATTCGCCGTACCCTGGCCACGTGGGTGTTGTTTTCTTAACTGAATGGGAGAGGAGAGTGGGGGATTGGATGATTTTAAAATCATGAATGTTGGAATCGAATGAGTGTTAATACATGCGTTTTGACATTGACATCAATCACCAAAACCACCCCGACAACGATTGCTAAACTATAATCGGTGTTGAAGTCACCTCTTACAACACACCCCAAATAAGCGACAAGGACAAAAATCGATCTCAAAAGGTAAAGCAATTTTATAACAGATAAGCCCATTCTACTTATTATCAACAGACTTTGACATCACTCGGTGGCATATATTCTGTGGATCCCTGCAGCATAGGTGTTGGTGTGGGTTGTTGTACAGTGTTTGTGGTTGGTAGTAGTTACAGCTGCATCAATATTATAATCGCATCTTCAGATATCATCTATCGCCATCACCATCGTCTTAATTCATGTATCATTGGAACCACTATTACCGGTGTCAACATCATTTATCATTCCTGTCAACTTCGTGTAACGTTATCTTCATCATAATCACTGTCAGCGCCTTCAGCATGACAATATTCAGCATTTATAACCGGTAACAGCATCACCATCGTGTTCTTCGTCATCATCGGCATGTGTATTTTTAAGTAGCGGCCAAGCCATTTTTGACTGAAAGCTTCGTCATTTCGCACCTCCGTCAAGGACAGAACAACCGTCTCGCACGTGTTCGTGTGTGACGTCATGGACCCGAGACTGATTGGTCGCCTCAGGTTGTCGGCGGAGCGAGCGTGCTGTATGTATTTATGTTTCTGGCGCATTAGAAATGGACCACTCTTTTAATTATTTCCTTGTGCAGCAATGGAGTAAAGTGTGGGTTTGTGAAGGTCTTTATGTGCTGTGCAGTACATCAATGCACGTGTGTACACCAGCATGCGATACTGAGTTGGGCCTGTAGGTGGCTGTCAGGGCTTTTGAGTAACCTGACCTGTACACAAGTCACGTGGTTAATCGCGACTCGGTTGAGAATTGCTGTGACACATGTGCTGTTGCATTTTACAGGTAAAGGACCCAAATGTTGTTTTTGATAGTTATAGAAATGTTCTAATCTTTAAGCTTGCCTTTGAATTGGTAGTGTGTGTATATCAATAGGAGGGGGTTTAGCACTGTACACTGTTAAGGATGACGTACTGTAGTTAATACTGGTAATTCTCTAACCCTGATACTGTTTATTCTATAACCATGCCCATGCACCCAGAGTATGACTACTTGCAATGCTATTGCATTGCTATTGCATTGCAAGATATCAATATAAGTGGATGGTATAAAGTAACCTGATCTGTACACCAGTCACGTGGTTAATGGCGACTGGTTGATAATTGCTGTGTGTGACGCACGTGCATTTGCATTTTACAGATTATCACAATAAATGTGTTTGCCCTCCATTTGGAGCACCTGCCCACGTCCTTCATTTCGAGTGTGCAACATGTTCAACTTCTTTTGCACCGTTTATAGCCAACCATACTAATCGTAGGTGCGGGGGAAAGGACAACAAACTAAACACAAAAAAGCAGTTTGAAAGCAGTTCTAAAGAAAGTAGTTTTTCAATCTAGCAGCAGTGGCTGCTTAAGAGCGATCCAGACGGCCGCATAAGTGCAGCTGGAAGTGCGTGGTGCAGTGACCATCTTTATGCAATGGTTAGCCAAAAACCGCTTCTGCGAGGATGACCGGAGTTCACATCATTGTTATTTTTTCTTGACGAGATCAGCAAAGTATTGTAGTTGATGTGTCGCAAGCACTGTGTGTGTAATGAGTGCACCCTTATAATGTATTCGTTCAGCAACCGGAAGCGAATGCAACTCGGCGAGCACTCGATGGACATTGCAGGACCCGTCACGACAAGTGCTGATCCGAATCAGAATATATTGGAGGCATCCCATGAGCTCTTTTTAAAATGTCAGCACGTCTTGCCCCGATTACTGATTGGCCTTGGGATTCTGTTGTTATTTGCAGAATGGTGCTCCATCCGTTCTGCACCGACTAATCGGGCCAAAAATTGACACGTGAATTATTGGGGAAATGCTTTTTTTCAGAATTGACGAACGTTGGAAGTTTGCAAATGTGTGGGAACTCTGCATAAATCAGGCAATTTTTATCGTACTTTGTATGTAAATCGTCATTGCATTTCAAACCTGGCCCTGTAGTCTGTGCTTTTAAATGTCTATAAATACATGTATTGGCATGTAACTGTTATAGTGCTACATATTGCGCCACAGCTAAAGACCGCCCTCTAGAGGTATGTGCAGTCGCGCGGTTTCGGTGGTGGGGGGTGCAGATATTTCTTCAACCCAGGGCCCACCACAAGTTTTTGCAGCCCCCTACCACGACACACCTACCCAGTGTAAATTGCAGAGAAGCAGCTGCAAGACTGATTAGCCCAAGTATCGAGTCAAAAGGTCAACGTTTTCATAATTTTGACCTCACATAAGCCAAGATAAAGAACGAAGCACAAACCGGGAGCGTTGTCACCTTTTATTTGCAATAAAGTTACACTGGATGTGTGTATATATAAACATACATACACAATGTGATAACTTTCATTTCATGATTTTAACCCCCTGATCATGTACAGCATATTCAACTTTAAAATTACAACATTACATTTCTCAAAAAGTTTTTGTGTTTAATAGCTATGAAATGACTCATATCTATAAATAAGTGTATTCTATAATGGTAGTGTAATAAATAATCTAAATAACTTCAGTAATTAAGTTAAGTTTAAAAAAATAAGTAAAGTGGACATTACAATATTTTCCAACACTCCTCACCAACACAGCTATAAACTTACACTTCATAATCTGTCTTACTTCCTCATCGATAGTTGTGAATAATGTGGTACAGTAAATTAAACCCATCTGTTATACAAAATCCTAAAACTCACACAACAGTCACGGTATAACAGGGCAACCAAGCTCAGCAGTTACGACAAAAAGTATATATGAATGTATTACCTGCAAATGTATCTACTGCAGTTGCTATTGGCAGTAATGTAAGAACCATAACATTGAATGAAAGGTTGCTACTTTCACAAGGTTAGTTACAATTGAAGCCTCTTTATGGTAGAAATAAGTGCCATTAAAGGCATCTGCTGATAAAAAAAAGACTCTTCGATGCAATATTAATGGTAAATTGGAACTTAAAAAAATGTGCACAACATTCCCATTGCACTCGTTACTTCAACTCTTGTCAAGTGATTTGGGATTGCCTATTTGTGTAGTCTTATTCATCAATTAGGTATTCTTTACATGCACATACAAACTGTACAAAAAAATTGATAGCCACTTCAACGTTTCATACTGATTTTTATAAAGTTGTTGGGTTGACAGAATACGTGCTTGCAGTAATATACTTTTGTCGAAAAATATTGTTCAGAAAAGTCATTTACATTAAATGGAAATTGTGCATTTCTCAATGTAGTAATGCTGATCCAAAAAAGCAAGAGTTACTATCCATCGTATGTTCTGTTAAACATGTGTTTATGTGAAGATATCTTTAATTGTGTTGCTGTTTTCGTTGTTGACTTGGATCTTATCTGCAAATAAAAGAATAACATTGGAATGAAAACATGGATATGCTTTTTATTAATCATTGCCAATTTGTTAAGCATTACTATATGTATTAAGCATAGTGTTAATATGTAATATCCGGGTTAAAACATAACACAGTTAAAGAGTTTGTTTTCCATAAGAATAAAATGTGCACTTAAATTATATTATAAACTTAGTAATACTTTCAATGTACTTTATAAAAAAAAAACAATTTGATAACTTGGTTGCAACATCTAAATTTAGATGCACACTGCCTTGAGTGTTGTGACTGTCTCATAGTGCAGGATAGGTCAAAGCTGCATTAATTCACCTGCTCCTGCATCCCATACACATGTGAAATTTGACATTTTGTAAGTGGTAACATGTGGACATAGAAGCTCTGCGCTCTTATTTAAGCTTTGTGAAAATTGTCAATGTTTTAAAATGCCATGGTTCACGTATATTTTGTACTTTTATTAGTATCGCAGTAGATGACTAATAATTATACACCAAACATAAAAAAATTAACCACAAAGTGTCATGGAATTCCATATCTAAACACCCTGTGTCTGCGAGCAACCTTATAAGGTCAAATAGCTATTGCAGCAAATATTAATTTATTTTTGAATGCCGTTATATCTTGTGGGAATTATGCACATTTTGCTGATGTAAAATGCGCTTTTGTTTACAGTGTTTTTTCCCCTTCTGGAATCACTGGTGACGCCATCTTTTTCAGTAGATGGCAGCAGATGCACCCTTTTTTATCACGTGGTCTTGATGTTTCCTTCACTAGCCGATGTTATATCGTGCAGGGTTTCCCAAACTCCGGTCCACAGAACCCACAACGCTACGTCTTTCCCCGCAGACAGCCTGAATTGCCGAGCGCATCACTTGGGATGTGTTTAACAATTATCAGGTGCAAGCAGCGTGAGGGTTTATTTGTATTTGGTGGGTCACGAGGACTGGAGTTTGGAAAACTTTGTTGGAGTGTGTTTAATGTATGCAGCTCAGATTTTCACTTTTAAAAAAATCCACATGCATTGTAGAAATGGGCTCATTGTGACCATCTGCATATCCTGAGTTTTGTTTTATATTTTTTTCTTCATCCTTGAAAATTAAACTACAACTTTCACAATGCATAACTTATTCTAGAGAATTGTGAAACTGCACCTTTTATCAATATCAGTGGCAGCAATATTAAAATCACTATAAGCTGAAGGCTTCCCATAATACACACCTGCTAGTAGCCTGAATTTCACTGCTCTATCTTAGACTTTCGTTGTTCACTCAATAACATACGTTTCCCTGTATTAGTCTCCATTCACTTGCGGTTTATTGAGTGCGTTAATGGGGGGTAAGAATGGCATGGCATTTGCTGGGTTCTCACCACTGAGACAAGTTGACAAGCAGGTCTTGGCACTGATGAAGTTGTTGTTGTTGCCGCCACAGCCCGAGTAATTAAATGGAAGACAAGAGCGCTTCTGGATGTTGTAGTAGAAGCGGCGGAAATTTCCTTGGCATTCTCCAGTATCATGTCGGCTCAGACATTCCCGGGGGGTGTCTGCAAAGAAGGATAAGAGGGAGTTGGGGATGTGATGCACTTTTACTCTATTCAGAACAACTCACGTTGCACGGTCGGAATACTCTTGAAAGAAGGGATAAAGGCTTCTTTATTAAGTAATATTTATTGACGTGTGTGCATTTTCTCCAATAACATGAATGTAATTTAACCTCGAAGTAAATGCAACGTTATTTTTCCAGATGCTTGAATACGACAGCTCGCAATAATACATTGGCTTTGCTACAATGAGCCTTTGAAAAGCTGGTTTGCTACATTGATTTGCCAAGCGCAGCTGCCAGCATTCACTTGATTTTCAAGAGAGAACTTTTGCAGGGTCTCTGCTATGTGTAAAGAATATAAATTGCTAAGTTTTAAATTAGTTTGTGCACACAACCAAATTCAAACAACTCTGCCTTTGTGTGCACGTCCTTAGCGCACCTCAATGCAATTCCACAACACAGGGTTTGATTCATGACCATGCACAACACCAATTTCAACGAGTAACTGTATCTGACTTTGGGCTTACTCTAGCTTGATTCAGTATAAAATTAGTGTATTAAGTTTCGATTTAAAGCTTTCGTGACTGCAGGGATTCATTTTCTTGGTTCTTTCGGTAAAGTCACGTAGAATGTAAATAATAAAATAATAAAAATAAAGCATAATAAAATAATTCTCACGACGTTTCGGCCACAACGCAAGCAGCTGTTCTCAGGTGGAGAACAGGTGGGTCGAGAAGACAGAGTCTTAATGGCACACCCCAGGCTTGGAGCGACTATTTAAGCTGGGATGGAGGGGCAAAGAGCGTCTTCTCGACAGACCTGTTCTCCACCTGAGGACGGCTGCTTGCGTTGTGGCCGAAACATCGTGAGAATTATTTTATTATGTTATGTGTTTATTATTTTATTATTTCCATTCTACGTGACTTTACCGAAAGAACCAAGAAGATAGTGTATTAAGTTTTCCAAAACACTGGCAGTGAACAAAGGGGGAATGGGACATGCTACTGACCTTACCACCCCCGGCTGTGTGCTAAGTCACGTTAATAAGCGCTTGCTTGCAATGCCTGTCCCTGCTGTCTATAATGTGCCATCAGATGTCTGGAGACTTACTGGGCTTCTCAATGCAAGAAAAGACGCAGGACTCTTTGTCTTCAAAGCGGTTACTGTTGCCACCGCAGCCTCCATATACAAAGGGCATGCACATGCCCAATGTCATGTTATAGAAGTAGCGGGTAATGTGTGCTCGGCAGCGTCCCGTCTCTGCGTCTGGTCGGCAAAGCTTGGGAATTTCTGCAAAATAAAAACAACAGATTTAAAATGTACAATTAGAATCGCCATTAGCAGCAGCAGCAGCAACTGATGCATCAGCAGCAATAATGCTCGGGCTGATTATGGTACGGCACATTCACCGTCTTCATTATAACGTACAAATGTATAAAGCTATTGTTTTAGGCAGTGGCTTTTAGCAAATGTCATTGCCCACTCCCTCGATTAGTCAATAATCATACTTTGCAGTCCTTTGTAAATTCTGAGCTAGCTCTCTATCCCCTTAACCATACTGCACTGACCAGTGTGGTGAAGTATAGTAAAATAACCCCCATGACTGGCATAGCATTGCCTTCATTCGTTTGAATTGTGTATACTGAAACACTGAGTGGCATCACATAAATATTATATTGTTCTGGGAATGCATGCCATAATATGAACTTAAGAGTTGGAATTAAACAAATTGTGACGAAAACTATTGGCAATTATGCCCTCCACAATGCTGGCTCAGTTCCCTGGTACAGGAAAAGCAATACATCCCCACAATCTACCCATACGTCGACTGCTCAGCTTTTTCAGTGATGCCGCTTAGCTCTTCGATGATTCCCTGCAGAAGCCCTTCGCATGTTAAGTGAAACGTTGGACATCACACCAAACACACGACAACACATCAGAACTACACCCGCATTTTCTGTCACTTGCTAGCGAGTTACAGAGCAATTGCTGGTAATAGACACTCGTGGCACTCACTTTTGATGAAGCTGCATGCCGCACGGCACTCCTGCATCGTCTCGAAGTTGTTCTCATTGCTATGGCATCCTCCGTAGATGAAGGACTCACAGCGGAGGGTGCTGCGGTTAAAGAAGTACCGTGGGAAGGCGGCACGGCAGTCTCCAGACTTCGCAGGCAGAGTGCATGTCACCCGCTGGTCTGCACACGCCACAGGCACAATGCGAGATTATGGGGACCTCATTTGCCAGTAAAAATATGATAATTGGTTCTTTACCCTTCTATCTGGCAGTTTTGTTGCCAGATAGAAGGGTAAAGAACCAATTATCACAATACGAGATGTTCACTGTGCTCACATCAAAGAAGATATGACCAGTTATGTGGCTCTTACCATGGTCCCGTTGATCATACAGCTGCTGGGTGATGCTGTGGCAGAACACTCAACTTCGGATTGCGAGTTTAAAAGTCCAATGTCGAGCATTGTACAAATGTTCTTGGTTCTTTCGGTAACGTCAAAGAACCAAGAATATGAATACATGCAGTCACGAAAGCTTTAAATCGAAATTTGTACAAATGTAGGTCAGTGCAGGGTGTCCATGACAAAGACCACCCGTATAGTCTTTATAGACTTTTCGGGCAAGTGCTGTCAGCGAATAAGCACCTACGAAGGCTGGCACGGCACACGAGGGGGGGGGGGGGGCAGCAGCACGCCCGGCCGCTTTTGTATCCCTAGTTGTTTAAACAGCGCACCAGGTACGCATTTGAGGCCGAGTCGACCTATGAGAGGCCCAGGACCGGTTCAGATAATCTTCACTGGTGTTGGTAGCCGTGAGCTGGAATCTAGCTCGGGTCACTAACCGCTATACCATCGCTCCCCACCTGATATCATTTACCCTCAATATTACAGGCATGGCTTGTAATCGAACTTAGGTCACCCCGGTTCATAGCACTGTGCCTCCGTTCTACCCCGTAGTATGTGCACACACTATGGTATAAACCGCACCGCACTTTGTACCATAACGCACAATCACAAATGTATGTAGGTTGAACTTTTTTCGCACCGTACGTAGTCAACCGCACTAATCGGAGGTGCAGAGGAAGAACAAACTAAACACAATAAAAGCAGTTCCAAAGAAATGAGTTTTCAATCCGGATTTAAAAGTGCATATAGCTCCAGTGGCTTCCTAATATCGGAAGAGCATTCCAAACGGCTTCCTCCAGTATAAATGCACATTCTGATTCTGATAAATACATACCCAATGAGCACCTTAAATTGATTCCCAGCCATAGCTAATATCACTGGTGATTGATATGAAATTAGGTTTTGAAAACTAATTTACGTAGAACTTTTTTTTGTATGCATTAAGTTTGTTAGCACGGTTGCCTACGCACGGTGCGAAATAAATTCTAAATAAAAATAAATGCTCAACATATACACGTACGTAAATTCTAGATTTGAAGTTTTCGTGACTGCAATGATCCATACTCTTTGGTTCTTTCGGTAAAGTCACGTAGATTTAGTTATTTTTATTCTATTTTCACCTACGTGACTTTACCGAAAGAACCAAAGCATACGTACGTGACCCAGTTTTTGCATCTCGCACTTAGCCAAATTATCAGCAATGGTGAAAATTTGGTCTAACAGCCCTTACGATCGGGAAAAAAGCCTTCATCCAAACCGTACGAGAACGCGGCGGAACGCGTGACAAACGTCGCATTACCGTCCAAGCTGGGTGAGCCATGCACGAGCACCACCACCGACAACAGAAGCAAAGCAATAGCAGCGGCAAGGCGTTCCATCTCGTCTCTCCACTCGTGGTCGCTCTGAACTTGTTGGAGAGCCTTCGAGTTGATCTCACCGCCAGTCGAAGCTCACTCAGCACTACCGAGTGGGAGGTGAATCCCGAACCACGTTTATACCCGCGCGAGGATGCCGCCCCGTAGCGTCAATCAGCCCATCAGCCCTCTCTGCCTCCTCCCCACCGTTGTTCCATCCCCGTGCGCAGCGCGGGTCGGGCGTGCGAGGTGAGAGGGGGCGGTGATGATGCGGTCATCCGCAGGGACTCTGTGAGTCACGCTGACGCACGCGCGCCAATCTATGGGAAATGCGTCTGGCGGGGGTTGATAAATTGCTCACCGCATTTCATTAACTTTTGCTGCACGTTGGAGAAAGTGACGCCGTTTCGCCCCATCGTCAAATATGAAGTTGCGTAAAATGTAATTGCTCTTTGTTTTTTTTTGTTCTATCGGTAAAGTCACGTAGAAGGGAAATAATAAAGTAATGAAAATATAAAATAATAAAATGTAATATTTGTATTATTTTATTATTTCCCTTCTACGTGACTTTAAAATAATATATTATTTTATTTTATTATGTTTTATTTTTATTATTTTATTACTTCCCTTCTACGTGACTTTACCGAAAGAACCAAGAAGATGAATCCCTGCAGTCACGAAAGCTTTAAATCGAAATTGTTTGGATATGCAGCATGTATACAACATATATAACACAAGATATTATGTTTATTTTGGCAGCTGTTCAATTAATATGATTTGGGTCTTTCGGTAAAAGCCACGTAAATAGAAAAAAATATATCACTACTTTATATTGTAATATAATCTCTTGTGAATGCTTCTAGAAATGTTATGCATATTTGTAATAGATAAATAAAAAAGGATGTTTTCTGGCATTGGGTCTGGAAGTACATGTTAACACCTGTAGCAGCAATAAGCTGCGAATGGCAGGCTGGGTGTTAGGTGAGATCATTCGTAACGACCATCATGGCTTCAAATTTCTCGCCAAAAGATTCCATTTGTGTGTTGCCAATCATATACCTCATCTTTGCTGCTTTCAACACTCCCCATTGCTTGCTATGACACATGTTACGCGCTATGTTTATTCGAAATGAATATTATATAAGCTTTAGTCAAACCAGTATTACGTTATATGAATCTATGCTTAATATGCAGGAAAGACTTCACGTCATTGTTACTCTGTATTGCCATGGCTCCTCTCGGTCACCTACAGAATCAAATTGTGAAATGTGTTCCCATGTTTTTTTTTAAAATACCGTTACCATGGCGAGTGACGGAGACTCACTTGAATTGCTTTTTTCTGTTTTATGAAACGGATGTTTTTTTATGAGGTTTGGGTGTGTACTCTGCGGTTTGTGGGAACGAAGTCGCACGCGGTATACAACGACACTCTTCTGAACTGAGAACACCACCGCTCATGCGGAACACTTCGTAGACTGATCTATGACAACACTCAGAGGTCAAGTCAAAGTTGCCTCCACGTTCGAACGAGATATTTCACGCCACTCATCTCCATCGGTGGCCCTCGTCTTGTTTGAAAATTATCTTGTGATGAGAGAGGACATTGTGTCAGTAACTTCCGAATTACGCTTCGGAATTGTATTATTGGCAGAAACATGCGATCATATATATATGTTTGAACACATGTATACATGTATTGATACTGTATTCGTAATATTATTTGTTTGATACTGTTTTTAGTCTCAGTCCATCATGCCTCTGGGTTCACTAAAATAGTTACCACTTTTCCGGAAGTCAATAGTCCAGTCGTTGTCTTATGGGTAAATTAACCCCCTGCCTATAGGAATGAGGATTTCCATTGGTCTGCTCAAATACTGCTGTGAAATTTCTATGATGCTGACTAATTGTTCATAACTAGTGTTTATGGGAAACAAGAAGCCAGCTACAAATATAAAAAAACTGAACCCCACAACTTCTCGCCTTCAAAACGCAGTCTTTATTTTATTACACACTTTTATTTAACTCACTCTGTTGTTGTATCCTCAAATCTTAAAACTAAACTTTAACCCACTTCCCAATGTGGTATCGACTGCAAACTTGGTATACTTATGTCATACTGATAACAATAATATATTCTATCATAAAAAATATATATTTTTAAACATTCTTCTTTATATGTTATGTTTCGGCTTGGGTCTAATTGTCCATGGTCAACTAACGTTGGCTGTAATTGGCCACGGTCCCATACATTATGGCAAGCTTCGGGGCCACTTCCTGGAGTCGTGGAGTTCTTCCATTACTACAGTACATTCATGTTTACCATGTGATGATCGATCTACTGCTGAATGGCTGCTATGAATCTCTACACGAAGTGCTACTTCATTGAGCTATTTTTTGTGGCCCAGGTAGGTTCTGCAAAAATAAGCTAAAATAAATTTTGGTTACAATATTTGATGACACTAAAAAGTACAAAATAATATATATTTTAAACTTTTTTTAAAACACGCTTTTATGAAATGTACTAAAAAGTACAAAAAAAATTATGTTCAAGTACTTTGCATTATATATGTTTAATATACTGTTGTTGTAACTGACTACAAATAAAAGCGTGGGGCACTCATATTAACGCCTTTAAAACTTTAGGTTACAATTACAACATATGAACAACATGTGACCAGTTACTTTCGATTGTCAATCCACACATATTCAGAAAAATAAACGGCTTAATAACTTTACGTTTAAATTGCAACATATGAACAACATATGAGCAGTTACTTTACGTTAAATAACAACATATAAACAACATCAAAAAATAGCACGAGCGCCCCACGCTTTTATTTTTAGTCAGTTACAACAACAGTATATGAAACATATATAATGCAAAGTATTTGAACAGAAAAAAAATATTTTTTTACTTTTTAGTACATATCATAAAAGCGTGTTTTAAAAAAGTAAAAAATATAAATATTATTTTACTATAGCACACAAACGAAGGCCAAAATAAATATGGGTATTACCAAAAACCCCAGACCAAAACCTGTCATGTGCAGACATTTCGCACGCACTCTGTCTCGACTTTATCCGTAGCCATTCACCACATTCTTGTGAAGGACCTACGTTACTAATCTCCTAAGGAATTTCAAACAATGGTTCACTTATTAAATTCAAGACCAGTGCTCTTTAATTAATGTGTTTCTTGCTGGCCCCTTAGCAACGCATATTTGCATGTACATGTGTAGTTTTTCGTCAAACAAACATCAAGTTTCAGTTTTAAGTTTCATTTATTTGGTATAGCCCTGTGAGCCATTCGGCTCTTGAATCGGGTGCAACCGCAACAAACAAAAAACAAAAACATAAACAAGAAAACATCTTAAAGTGACTATGCGCAAACAGAACATGTAAAATTAAGCAATAATAAAAGACCATTTGAAATTCAACAACACTGTAGCAACACTGCAAACATACACTTTTGGATGGTCATGGCAGCATCACGTGATTTTGGGACAAAGTATGAAGCCCGTGTTCAGCGTTAAGTTTACGCCTCTTCTGGATGTTATTATTTTTTTTAAAGAGGTTTAATTTCTTGTCATCACTAGACAATGAGGCATGTGTTGACAACTTGAGGGAGAACTTAGACCCACAGTGGCTAGATCATGGCTGATGACTATGTACAGCTAAGGTAATTTAAAACGTATTATGACTGAGAATTGCTTGCAGAGGTTGAAACATCTGAAGAGTTCACCAAAATGGTGGTGTGCTCCAACTTGTAATGAATTATATCGCATACATTACAAAATCTATCCAAATTGCACGACATAGTTTTGCTCAAGTCTTCCAACTATTTTGTCAAATTTCTTCGACACCGATACATGGTCAACACTCATGGTATGTTCCATGTAGTCTCAATGTCTCACTAGTTAGATAAATGTCTGGTGTGCTCCGACTTGTCATGAGGTTTGATATTTCTCGTCACCCTATATTATGCACTGGAAAGCCACTTAAGGTGCTGTATGGTGCTTCAATTACATGGACTGATATTGTTATTTATTATCTCTGCCATCTCAAGCTACATTTCACCGCTTACACCTCCTATTTGAAACTCACAAATAAAATTGTTTCGAGATTATAATGCAGAATACTCTAAAGTAACATGACTAAATTAAAAATTAAACTGTTACCTTTTTTAATCACTATTATGGATTATGATTTTTAAAACTTATTTTCAATTACCAAGGTTTGTAATATATCATTGCTGTGCAATGATATATTAAACGTTGTGATAAGCATGTAGCAGTGCATGTATGCATCAAATAATTTATGAAAATATATTAAGCTCACAATTAATGTGTCGCATCATGCATGTAAGATTAATTGGTTCTTTCGGTAAAGTCACGTAGAAAATAAAATAAAAATGGAATACGACGTCTCGGTTGCAACACAAGCAAGCATCATCCGGTAAGAATGGATGATAAAACACAGACACGGGAACACCGAGCGAGACACACTCGCTCGGTGTGTCTTTGTCTGTCTCTCTCTGCACGTGTGTCTGCCTATGCTGTTCCCGTGTCTGTGTTTTATCATTCATTCTTACCTGATGATGGTTGCTTGTGTTGCAACCGAAACGTCGTATTCTATCATTTTATTTTCTACGTGACTTTTCCGAACGAACCAAAGAGTAATTCCTGCAGTCGCGAAAGCTTCGAATCTAATAATGTATCACCTTTGCATATTCGTCTATCATGTTACATTTAGAGCATTGTTCTTCATAGCTCTAGCGGCCCCTGGTCACCTTTAATGTGGCCCCTGACGGGCGGCCCCTGACAATACACAACACGTAAACACACCCCAAGCATCGTCCTGCTGTCAAACCCAATGGTTTCATATGCGTGGCGGCCTTCACGCTGATGATGTCTTATCGACAATAGTGCCCCCCCTCTGAAAGTGAGTGAATAACAATGATTTAGACTGATGGTGGTTGGAGTAATTGAGGCTAAACCTGAGAAATAACTCTAACAAGATGGAGAACATGGGACGAGAAATTATCAATTGCGGTATTGAATTGAATCACAACCCAGAATTGTGAACATGCAATACATCTCTGGTGGTGATGGTGGTGGTAAAGGGAGGCACAAGCTACATGTC